AGGAGGGAAGGAGGGAAGGAGGGAAGGAGGGAAGGAGGGAAGGGAGGGAGGAAAGAAAGAAAGAAAGAAGGAAAGGGAGAGAAAACAAAAGGAAAAAGAAAAATTATTTCAATACTTGGGAGGCTGAGGTGGGAGAATCACCTGAGCTCAGGTAGTCAAGGTTGCAGTAAGACAAGATTGTACTGCTGCACTCCACCCTGGGTGGTAAGAGTGAGACCCTGTCTCAAATCAAATATTTTAAATAAACAAGTAAATAAACAAGCTCTTCATGAAGAACAAAAATTAAATAGATCAAATATATAGGACTTATATTAAAAACAAGAACATCACATAAGACATAAATTAAGGTAAAATGAAATATTTTATTATTTGTATTCCTAATTGATTTAATAAGATAGTTCTTCAAATAATAATAGTAAAAATTAATTGGTATATTATAGCATAGGGATAACAAATAAATAACAGTAATACTCTCTTATATAATGCCTACACTATCGATGAAATGGTATAATGATGTTGGAAAGTGGATTTAAATTTGTTGTAGACTTATAATTGCAAACTCTAGAGAATTACTTGATTTTTTACAAAAGATATGTAATGTATATTCTGTGGATTTGGGTGGAGAGTTCTTTAAATGTCTATTAGGCCCGTTTGGTCCAGATCTGAGTTCAAGTCCTGGATATACTTGTTAATTTTCTGCCACGTTGATCTGTCTAATATTGACAGTGGAGTGATAAAGTCTCCCACTATTATTGTGTGGGAGTCTAAGTCTCTTTGTAGGTCATTAAGAACTTGCTTTATATACCTGGGTGCTCCTGTCTTGGGTGCATATAGATTTAACATCGTTAGCTCTTCTTGTTGTATTGATGTTTTTACCATTATGTAATGCTCTTCTTTGTCTCTTTTGATCTTTGTTGGTTTAAAGTCCATTTTGTCAGAGACTAGGATTGCAATTCCTCCTGCTTTTTTTCATCTCCATTTCCTTGATAAATCTTCCTCCATCACTTTATTTTTAGCCTATGTGTGTCCTTGCATGTGAGATGGGTTTCCTGAATACAGCATATTGCTGGGTCTTGACTTTTTATCCTATTGCCAGTCTGTGTCTTTTGAATGTGACATTTAGCTCATTTACATTTAAGGTTAATATAGTTATGTGGTAATTTGATTCTGCCATTTTGATGCTACCTAGATGTTTTGGACATTAGTTGAAGCATTTTTTTCATTGTGTCAATGGTCTTTACCATTTGGTACATTTTTGTAGTGGCTGGTACTGGTTGTTCCTTTCCTTGTTTAGTGCTTCTTTCAAGAGCTCTTATAAGGCAGGACTGGTGGTGATGAAATTGCTTAGCAACTGCTTGTCCATAAAGAATTTTCTTTGTCCTTCACTTATGAAGCTTAGTTTGGGTGGATATGAAATTCTAGGTTGAAAGTTCTTTGCTTTAAGGATGTGGAATATTGGCCCCCACTCTCTTCTGGTTTGTAGGGTTTCTGCTGAGAGATCTGCTGTGAGTCTGATGAGCTTGCCTTTGTGGGTAACCCGATCTTTCTCTCTTGCTGCGCTTAGCAGTTTTTCCTTCATTTCAACTCTGGTGAATCTGAAGATTATATACCTGGGGTTTACTCTTCTTGAGGAATGTCTTTGTGGTGTTCTCTGTATTTCCTGGACTTGAATGATGGCATGGCTTGCTAGTTTGGGGATGTTTTCCTGAAGAATATCCTGAAGAGTGTTTTCCAGCTTGGATTCATTCTCTCCATCACATTCAGGTACACCTATCAAACGTAGATTAGGTCTTTTCATATAATCCCATATTTCTTGCAGGCTTTGTTCATTTCTTTTCACTCTTTTTTCTCTATTTTGCCTTTTCATTTTATTTCATTGAATTGATCTTCAATCTCTGATATCCTTTCTTCTGCTAGGTCAATTCGGCTATTGAAACTTGTGTATGCTTCATGAAGTTCTCGTGTTGTGTTTTTCAGCTCCATCAAGTCAGTTATATTCTTCTCTAGACTGTTTATTCTAGTTATCATCTCATTTAACCTTTTTTCTAGGTTCTTAGTTTCTTTGCATTGAGTTAGTACATGTTCTTTTAGCTCAGAGGAGTTTTATTGCCCACCTTCTGAAGTCTGTTTCTGTCAGTTCATCAGATTCTTTCTCCATCCATCTTTGATACCTAGCTGGTGAGGAGTTGTGATCCTTTGGAGGAGGAGAGGCATTCTTGTTTTTGGTGTTTTCATCCTTTTTGTGCTGGTTTATTCCCATTTTAGTGGTTTTATCCACCTGTGGTCTCTGTAGTTGGTGACTTTTGGATGGGGTCTCTGAGTGGACATCCTTTTTGTTACTGATGAAGTTATTTCTTTCTGTTTCTTAGTTTTCCTTATAACAGTCAGGTCCCTCTGCTGCACGACTTCTGGAGGCCCACTCCAGACCCTGCTTGCCTGGGGATCACCTATGGGGGCTGCAGAACAGTTAGCATTCCTGCCAGTTTCTTCTCCTGTTATCTTTGTCCTAGAAGGGTACCTGCCAAACGTCAGCCTGAGCACTCCTTTATTAGGTGTCTCATTGTGTATACAGGGGTCATGGAGCTACTTGAGGAGACAGTCTGTCCCTTATAGGAGCTGAAGTGCTGTGCTGGAGTTCCACTGTTCTGTGCAGAGATGCTGGGCAGATACTTTTACATTTGCTGCAGCAGAACTCATAACTCCCTCTTTTCCCAAGTGCTCTGTTGGCTTTATAAGTTTCTGTCATGCTGCTGCCTTTTTTCATACATTCCTTGCCCTGCATGTAGTAGCCTAGTCATAGTATTTCAACAGAGGTGTTGCTGAGCTGCCACAGGTTCTGTCCCACTGCTGTGTGAACTGCCTCAGTAGTGGCAGACTGCCTCAGTAGTGGTGGTTGCCCTTCCCCCCACTGAGCTGGACTGTTCTGGGTCCAGCTGAGCTTGCAGCAAATCTCTAAATCCAGAGCATTTCAGATTGCTTGTTTTGTGGGGGTGGTACCTGCTAAGCCAGATTGCCTGGCTCCCTGTCTCTGCCCCCTCTCTTTCAGTTGAATGGGTGGCTCTGTCTCCTAGGTGTTCCAGGTGCCAGTTGAAAAGGCCACTCATATTTGTGTGACTTTCTGTGCACCAACCTGGAACCAGCTGAAACTGCCATGCTGAAAACTCGTGGTGCCTTTTGGCCCTGGGATCTCCTGACCTGTGGGCATTGTAAATTTGTTTGGAAATGCAGTGGGCACTCACTCTCTGCATTGTTCTTGATGGGAACTGTGCTCCAGAGCTGTTCCTATTTGGCCATCTTGGATCCTCCCCCAGCTTAGGCCAATGATTTTTTTCATATAGCATTGAGAGTAGTCAAACTCAGAAGCAGTAAATAAAGAAAAGGGAGAAATGGAGAGTTGAAGCTTAATGGGTATAGAGATGAAAGATGAAAAGGTTTTGGAGATTAGTTACAAAGCAACCTGAATATATTTAGCAGTAATAAACTGCATACTTAAAAATTATTAAGATGGTAAATTTTATGTTAGGGTTTTTTTTAACCCCAATTTATTTTTTTTTTAAGTCTCAAAACAATAACTTTATTTTATGTCTAAAGTAAACAGAGAAAGAAGTGCAAACTAAATGAAAATACGGCAGAAGGAAGGTAATGATAAAAAATAAAGTGAAGATAAATGAAATATTCACAAAATAAAAATATAGAGAAATTCAAAGCAACCACAGATTAATTCTTCAAAAAGGTTTTTTTTTTATTGACAAATAATTTAGCTAGATTGACTGCAATGTCCATAGTTGTGTCCCTACTTTCATTTCTGATTTTAGTTAATTGTATCTTCTCTCTCATTTTATTAGTGGGTCTAGCTACATGTTCAGAAATTTTTTGATCTTTTAAAAGAATTATTCTTTGGTTTTATTGATTTCTTTTAACTCATTCAATGAGTCTGACCCCAAAAACAAAGACAATACAAGGAAAGAGTATTGCACACTAATATCACTTATAAATGCAAATACAGCAATCTTTAACAAAAAACTAGCAAATTATATCCAGCAGATTATTAAAAGAATTATAAACTATAACCAAGTGAAATTTATCCCAGGATAATAAGGATGGTTAAACATGAAAATCAGTAAACACAATAAAAAACATTAATAGAAAAAAGGGAAAAAAACAACACAATAACTTCAACTGACACAGAAAAAGCTCTTGACAAAATCAAACGCCCTGTTATAATCAAAGCACTAGGATAATTAATAATATTAATACAATAGAACTCCCTCAACAGGAAAAATTATGTTTATAAAAAACACATAGGTAATGTTACACTCAATGGTGAAAGACTGAAAATATTTTATCTAAGATCAGGATCTGCACAAGGATTCTCACTTGTCCCACCACTATTCAACATTGTACTCAAAGTTCTAGTAAGAGCAGTTAAGTAAAAATAAATAAATAAATAAATAGGAGTCATTCCAATTTGAAAGGAAAATTCTTTAAAAATCCGCTGGCCCAAAAATCTACTAGTGGAGAAGAATGGTGGAGCAAGATGGCAGAACAGAAAACTTCACCAATTGTCCCTCCCTGCAAGGACACCAAGTTAACAGCTATACACAAAAACAAACAAACAAGAAGAAACGAAAACAAGAACAACAACAATAAAACGCCTTTAAAAGAACCCAAAAATCTGGTATGTACTCATAGTATCTAGCTTTAAGTTTATATCACTTAAAGGGATGCTAAAGAGATAGAAAACCAGTCTTTAATTGCCAATGCCACTCCTCCCCAACCCCCAGCAGCAGCACTTGGTGTGGAAGCATCTCTGGGGGCTAAGGGAAGGAGAACACAGCAATTATGAAACATTGAACTCAGTGCTGTTCTGTTAGAGCAATAAGGAAATCCAGACCAAATACAGCTGATGTCTGCCCATAAAGGAAGCATTCAAACCACCCCTAGCCAGAGGAGAATCACAGATCTTAGAGTTCCACAAACCTTGTCACTGAGGGACAAATTGCTCTCAGTCACTAAGTAAATTTAAAGGTAATCTAGGCCAAAAGAACTGCAACTCTTAGGTGAGTCCTAGGGCTAAACTAGGCCAAAAGACAGTGGACTGTGGGGATATGAGACATATTGATATACCAGCTGGAGAAGCCAAGGGTGTGCTGAAATCACCCCTCCCGTTAACTAACCCCAGGCTGCACAACTCATGGATCCAAAAAAAGACCCTTTTCTTTCACATGAGGAGAGGAGATTGAAGAGAGGGGAGGATGTTGTCTCGCATCTTGGATACCAGCTCAGCCACAGTATGATAGGGAAATAGAGTCATGAGCCCCCCATTCCAGACTCTAGCTCTGGAATAAAATTTCTAGACACACACTGGGCCAGAAGGGAATCTACTACCTTGAAGAAAAAAGCCTGGGCAACATTTATCACCTGCTAACTGAAGAGCCCTTGCATCCTAAATAGCAAGCAGTGATACCCAGGTAATATGTCAAAGGCCTTGGTGAGCCTCTGACACTTGCTGGCTTCAGGTGAGACTCAGCATATTACCAGCTGTGGTGGCTATGGAACAAAACTCCTTCTGCTTGAAAAAAAACAAAGGGAAAAGTAAAGGGCACTTTGTCTTGCACTTTAGGAATCAACACTGCCACAGGGAAGTAGAGCACCAAGGAGGCTCAAGGGATCACTGATTCCAAGACTTGACTCTGGGATGGCATTTCTGGACATGTCCTGGGCCAGAGGAGAGTACACTACCCTGAAGGGTGAGTCCCAAGCCAAGCAGCATTCAACACAAGCTGACTTAAGAGGCTTTGGGCCTTAAAGGAATATCTGCAGTAGTCTGTCAGTACTTCCCATGGCCAGGTGTGGCAGAGGCTACAGGGTGAGGCTCTTCTGCCTTTGAAAAGGGAAAGGAAGAGTGGAAACCTGAGGTTTTTTTTTTTTTTGAGTATAAGCTCAGCTACATTAGAGTAGAATAGCAGGTAGACTTCTAATGATTTTAACTCTAGTTCCTGACAACCAGATGGCACTTCTGGACCCACCCGAGGCCTAGGAGACCTCACCACCCTAAAGGAAAGAACACAGTCCTGGCTGGGTTTCCCACCGGCTGATTGTGGAGCCTCAGGACCTTAAATGAACATAGGCAGTAGCCAGGAGTAGTGACAGCAGGCCTTGGGCAAGACCCAGTGCTTTGCTGGCTTCAGATTTGACCCAGTGCAGTCATAGTAATGGTGGCTACAGAGGGGTTGTGCCATTCCATTCCCAAATTTAGGTGGCTCAGAATAGAGAGAGTCTATGTGTGTTTCAGCAAAGGTTAGAGAAGAGAACAAGAGTGTCTGCCTGGGAATCTGGACAATTATCTCAGAGTTGGTCAAAGACCAAAAAGGTGGTACCTTTATGAGTCTTCAAAAACCACAGTGTCACTGGGCTTGGGGTGCCTCTTAAAGCTGATATAACTTAGATTACAACACCCAAGTTCTCCCAAATATATGGAAATCCTTCATAAGAGGGGCAGCTGCAAATATGTCTGGACAGTGAAGACTGAAATAAATATTTAACTTTTCTGTGCCCAGACACTGAAGAACATCTACTAGCATCAACAATATCCAAAAAAACGCGTCCTCACCAAACGAACTAAATAAGGCAAGAAGGACCAATCCTGGACAGAGACCTTTCAGACAGAAAATACAAAACAGATGTGTTAAGGAAACTTAAAGAAATCCAAGGTAACACAGAAAAGAAATTCAGAATTATATCTGATAATGTTAACAGAGAGATTAATATTCAAAAAATCAAGCATAAATTTTGGACCTAAGAAATCCAATTGATACATTGAGGAATGCATCAGAGTTCTTTAACAGCAGAATGAATCAAGCAGAAGAAAGAACTGGTAAGCTTAAAGACATGCTATTTGAAAATACATTGTCAGAGGAGACAAGAAAAAATATTAGAAAACAATGAAGCATACCTACAGGATCTAGAAAATAGTCGCAACAGGGCAAATATAGGAGTTATTGGCTGTAAAGAGGAGATAGAGAAAGAAATCAGAGGTAGAAAGTTTATTCAATGGGAACTTCCCAAACCTTTGAGAAAGATATCAGTATTCAAGTACAAAAAGGTTATAGAAAACCAAGTAGATTTAACCAAAAGAAAACTACCTGAAGGCATTTAATAATCAAGCTCCCAAAGATCAAGGATACAGAAATGATCCTAAAATCAGCAAGAGAAAAGAGACAGATAATACACAGTGCAACTACAATATATCTGGCAGGAGACTTTTGAATGGAAACCTTATAGGCCAGGAAAGAGTGGCATAACATATATAAAGTGCTGAAGGAAAAAGAAACTACCCTAGAATAGTATAAGCATGAAAATATCCCTCAAACATGAAGGAGAAATACTCTCACAGAAAAACAAAAGTTCAGGTATTTTATCAATACTAGACCTATCTGACAAGAAATGCTAAAAGGAGAGGACTTCAGTCAGAAAGAAAGTGACATTAATAAGCAATAAATAAATATCTGAAGGTACAAAACAAACTGATGATTATAGAAAGTATACAGAAAAACACAAACTATTTTAAGACTATAATTGTGGTTTGTGAACTACTCATATCTTGAGTAAAAAGGCTAAAAGATAAACCAATCAAAACTAATAAGTACAACAGTTTTCAAGACATAATACAATAAGATACAAAAAGAAACAACAATAAGTTAAAAAGTGGGGGAGCAAAGTTAAGGTTATTTTTATTCATTTTTTTGGCTTGTTTGTGAAAATAGTGTAAGTTGTTATTGGGTTAAAATAATGAGTTATAAGATAATATTTGGAAGCCTCATGGTAACCTCAAACTAAAAAACATACAATGGATACACAAAAAAATAAAAAGCAAGAAACTAAATTATGTCCCCAGAGAAAATCATCTTCACTAGAGGAAGATGAATAAAAAAAAAAAGAAGATCACAAAGCAACCAGAAATAAGAAAATGGCAGAAGTAAGT